AATCTAAAACTGAAGAACAATTATTGGAAGGAGGAGAGACTGACATAGGACCGGATCCAAGTATATGGCCGACAATAATTACTGATACAATGCGAATTGTTATTGTGAAAAAAGGTCCTTCAAAACTAGATCCTACATTTGAATATCCATTTAATCAGTTGAATCGTCAATTTATGCCATCCAGTATGTAGACAAAAATGAAAAATGGGGAACAAATTAATAGATCGTGGTTAGTGTATTCACAGACCAAAGATGTAGTTTTTTGTTTTTGCTGCAAACTGTACTGTAACTCGGACATTCTTCTGGCAACTGCAGGTTTTAATGACTGGTGAAATTTGTATCAGCATTTGAAAGAACATGAAACATCAAAAAATCATTTACGCTCATTGACAAATTGGATTGAGCTGTCAAACAGATTACATACTGGTACAACAATCGATTTGGTACAGCAACGTCAACTAAATTCAGAAATTCTAAGTTGGCAAGTGGTGTTGGAATGTTTACTGGCAATCATTAATATCCTAGCCGAACAGTGCCTCGCGTTCCGTGGATCCTCGGATATTTTATATGAGAATAACAATGGAAATTTCTTTAAATTGGTTGAATTATTGGCAAAATTTGATAATGTTATGGCTGAGCATGTACAAAGAGTGAAAGATGGAGAGATTCACACCCATTATTTGGGTAAAAATACACAAAATGAGATAATAGAATTAATTTGTAATGGAGTGCGTAATGAAATTTTATCGAATATGAAACATGCCAAATATTACTCAATTATAGTTGATTGTACTCAAGATCTGAGCAAAACCAAGCAAATGTCGATAGTTTACAATTTCTGAAAATTGATGAAAATGCAGAAGTGAAAATTTGTGAACACTTTCTAGAATTTATACCAGTGAACGAAACTACTGGGAAAGCCCTCACAGATGTAATTCTACAGAGATTGGAACATTATGGAATACCTTTAGAAAATATGGGTGACCACGGGTACGATAACGGCTCAAACACGCGAGGACGATATGCAGGTGTACAGCAAAGAATATTGAATTTAAATGATCGAGCTTTCTTCATTCCTTGCCATGTGCATTCGCTCAATCTGGTTGTCAGTGATGCCGCCAAATCATCTAAAGATGCTGTTTCATATTTTATCACTCTGAAAGCAATTTACAACTTTTTTAGTGCTTCCACACACCATTGGGCAGTCTTGAAGAAGCATCTTGAACAAAAACTCACACTTAAACCTCTGAGTCAAACTAGATGGGAAAGCAGGATAGAAGCTATTAGACCATTCCAATGTTCATCAGGAGAGATTTACGATGCACTATTCGAAATAAGCCAGGACTTGTCGTATGATCCTTCATTTCGACATGAAGCTGAAACATTGGCTCAGAAAATGATGCAGTTTCAATTTTCATGTTGCACGGTTATTTGGCACAATATTCTAAATCAAATTAATTTGACCAGCAAAGTTATGCAGAACATAACCATAGACATATCTGAGGCAAAGACGATTTTGAATAAAACACTGGAGTATTTAAAAAAATACCGTTCAGATGAAGGATTTGAAGAAACTGTCAAAGAAGCAACAACAATAGCAGAGGATCTTGGTTTTGAACCAACGTTTGCACCTCAACAATTCATTCGTCCTCGGAAAAAAACAAGACAGTTTTGTTATGAGGCTCATGATGATCCTATTCTCGATCCAAACGAATGGTTTAAAGTTGAATGTTTCTATTGTATTTTGGATGTAGCTATAACTTCCATTGAAGAAAGATTTTGTCAGTTGCATGGTCATTGTGAAACTTTTGAATTTTTATACGATATTGGAAATATTAAAAATCAGTTTTCCAAAGAAGACCTCATGAAGCAATGCCAAGACCTACATTTAGCGCTCAGTACTGATAACGCTACTTACATTGATGCAGTAGAATTGTATGATGAATTAACAGCTTTATCTGAGCTAATAAGTCCTAAAACTTCTCCTCTAAAAGTATTAGAATTTATAGCAGGAAATGATTTTTTCACTCCAAACACTGCTATAGCATTACGCATTCTTTTAACATTACCAGTATCAGTGGCTTCTGGTGAGCGCAGTTTCTCAAAACTGAAATTACTAAAAAATTATTTGAGGTCCACCATGTCTCAAAATCCTATGTCAGGACTGGCATTAACTTCAATTGGAAGTACTATTGAAAAAAATTTAGATTTCACTAACTTATTAAAAGACTATGCAAGTATAAAAACCAGAAAAATTCAGTTCATATACATTCTTTTAATATATGAGAAACTGGAAGACACTAACGTTTTTCATTACAGTGTATAGTTGAACTCAAATTGTTTGTAACTGTGTTTGGGTACGTCTTCACTACCCGCCGTATCAGTGGGTAGCAATCGATTTATCCAGGATCGATATATCGCGTCTCGTTAAGACGCGATATATCAATCCCCAAACGCGCTCACCGTCAACTCCGGAAATCCAGCAGAGCGAGCGGCAGTAGTGCAGTCAACGGGGGAGCCACGGCCGTCAATCCCGCACAATGTGGACCCCAGGTAATTCGATCCAAGATACTTCGACTTCAGCTACGCTATTTGTGTAGCTGAAGTTGCGTATCTTGGATCGATACTCCCCCCCCCCCGTGTAGACCAGC